AACTAGCCTACATAATTATTACGTATTAAAGTTATTTAAAAATTTAATATTCATATGTATAAATGTATGTACAAATTAATAACTTTTTTACTAGCTGCACAAAACATTTATATTTTTAATAATTTAAATTATGTATTCATTTTTTACAAATGAAAAATCATGTTTTTTAAACCGCAATTAATTTTATTGCAACCTTTTGAACTTTTTGATAATTATTATGAAAAAAACCGTTATAATTATTTTCGTTATATTTGCTTACATAATATGTACATATATATTTTATTAGAATTAGAAAAAATAACAAGGTAATGAAAAAGAATTTAACAAATTTTATTTTGTAAAATGGCACGATAATCAGTATTTTATTTGTATGTGTATGCACGTACATACATACAATCATTCATTTGTTTTATAATTTTATTTACATACATAAATGTACATTTTTTTTGATATTTTAACACGTATGTTAAATTTTTATAACAAATATGTCAATATGTATATTGTAAAATAAAAATTTAGCAATTTTAATTTAATTTCGGCATTGTTTGACCTACATATTGGCATTTTTAAGCGAAAAATGATATTTTACTCTATATCAGTGATGCAAAAACAATTGCTTTTTTTTAACGCAGTTTAACAATTGTCGGAATAGAAATGACGAACTAATGTTTATCTTTTTTTAAATTTTCCAAAAACGTTCATAAATTCATAATGAATATGTAAAATTGGTTTAAGTAGCGACGAAATTCAATATTTAAATCCTACTTTTATAAGATAATCGCATGCATAACTAATAATAACTCACAACTTTATTCAGGTAGCGGCACCTGGTAGTGCTTGGAGAATATTATACTGAATAAAATCATCTATAAAAAGTATTTATTAGATATTTATTTATTTTCGAGTGTGGCAAAAATTGTGAAATGAAATTGAGAAGAATTCAAATAAAAATTAAGTCTTTAGAAAATAAAAATGCATAAGTACATTTAATACACATTTGTATGTAAATCAAATTATATATAGAAAATTTTTACATAGAAAATTTCCTCTAAAGAAGATCTGATATCTTGGCAACCGCAACTTCTGTTGACTTAATTAAAAAAAAACAAATTCCCCGATCCTGTAACAGAAAGAAAAAAAAACCAAGAAAAAATTAAGAACCTACACTGTCGACAAAATTTTTTTATCCACACAATTTTTAGAAAACTTAAACAACTTTTTATAGCTACAAAATTTTTTTATATTTTTTTATATTTTAAAACTAAAAATATTGTAATTAATGTTAGATGTGAACATGCGATTTTTTGCGACATTGTACTTGGATGAATCATAACAGCTACAACTTGCCGTTTAAGAAACAGTATTTTTCCTGTATTTTTCCTTATATTGCTTGTTATACGGGAACAAAACAAGAATAATAAAAACTTTACTTCATCATTTAATAAAGTTTGTTCAAATCAATGGTTTGTATTATAATACTTTTCCCTTCAACACGTGAAAATACTGTTTTTAAATGCAGTCTATGTATACCAACCACACTATTAAAATTATTTTCATTCATAAACGAAACTATTTCTAGGATTGCATATATTTAGGATGAACGATTTATGCAGTCTTTGAAATAAAGCAAATATTAATTTAAAGAGGGGTCAACATAATACTCGATTTTGAGGGTTAATTGCGTGAGTTAAGAAAAATAATTATATTTTTTAATAGTATGAAGTTCACCGTTAGCTTTGTGCGTTTATAGAAATTTGAAAAAGCTTGGTTTTGGAAATATGAGGCGCGAAAAATTCAAATTTTACAATTTTCAAGAGGCGATAACTTGAGAGGGGGTGGAAATGGAAAAAATTTTATTCCGACGAAATAAACTATTTATTAGTATCTAAAAGCTGCTAAAATTCAGGCTCCTACAATCTAGGCTCTAGAAGAAAAACGACATTAAAAATTTGGAAAAAACGGGTTTTAGATAACGGTAAATTTTGTTTTTTTAAAGTTCAAATATAAGTAGTATGCCCTAGTAGAAGAAGGCGGACACTATATTTCTGCGTTTGCAAAATTTGAGAAATGCTTACGGTTTCACTGTAATAAATGGTTAAAAAATGCCATTTTTAGGGTTTTAGGGGGCTGTAACTTCTAGAGGGGGGGGGGGGGGGGGGGGAGAGATAGGTAAAAAGTTTCTTCTATGGAAATAAGTCTATGTACATATTAAATTTCAGCTTTCTCTCTTTAAGGGTGTAGAAGTTTTGTATACATGTCCACGGACGGACGAGCGGAAGACCATAGAGTGAAACTAGTAAGCACTTTTTTCAAAAATTTTTTGGAAAAGTGCTAAAAAGCAATATAAAAAAATTCGGAGGGCTTCTACAGTGTGCGGTTCTATATCACAATAATTACAATGCATGATAATAATATACATGAATAGTTTAGAAAAAAAGAAATTTGGTTTCAGATCCTTTTGATTGTAGGGACTTTTATATGACACTTTTATATGACACATGTGTAAAAATATTGCATTAGGTTTCTGTAAGCAGAGAGTGAAGCTATTTACTCGGAGATATGCTTCGGATATAATACACACAGTAAACTTATTTCGCATATAATGAAGTACGTACTTCACACGACGGCGCAGTACTCTTATAATCTAATGAACAGATTTCAATTTTTGTATTTAAGGCGGATGTACTGTTTTGTCTTTAATAAGTAAGTAATTAAATAGTTAACAATTTGTTTTTGGATTTTGTGTTTGTTAAAACAAAAATTAAATTTAAAAACTTCTAATATTAGACATTTATTAGCATTATTGGCCACTAAAAAATATTTCTACACTAAAACTATAGAAAAATAAACTATATGAATAAAACGATTAAACGTGAACATATTCTAATGTAAAATGCGATTTTTTTTTTCTAAATTTTTATGTTCAAGCGATTTTTTTCTATTTTTTTAATTAAAAAACTTTTGCGTTTTCTGGGAAGCAAGTTTGCATTTCATCAAAAACTTCAAACCAAAAAATAATGTACAAAACCCGCAATTTGGTTATTTTCCCTGAATATTCTATGAGTATATACATTTACATAGTGTGAACTTAACAATGACCATTACACAAATTATTTAAATACATACATATGCTGTTATAATAAATGAATGCATGTATGCTTTAATGTTTTTTTATTGAACTTCATTAAACTTTTTTTGTGTTCGATTTAGCTCCAAAATAAGACACACACAACTGTCCATGATTGATAAATGCAAACGAATGTACATTTAAAGATTATAATTTTTCACATGTGTGCATATGAAACACTTCTAAATGATTACTATTTAGTAGATATTGTTTAAAACCGCATCCGAACATTAATTAATTTTACGCTTTGGACATGTCATTTGGTGACATTTCGAGTCCAATTTCTAGATATAATTAAGTACTTAAGTTGGGTAAAGTAACTGATCTTGAGAAAAAAGATAGGAAAAATAGATTCACCGTCTACTGATGAATAAAAGGCTGACATTAAAAGCAGGCCGAACATAAGAAAAAATATCTGTTTTTATATTTATTAAAAAAGTATGTATTATTTAAGTAAAATCGCCAAAACTTATTTATAATTTAAAACACTATTAAATTACAAGGATTTAAAAAATACTCTATAACTTTTAGGATTCGCGAATATGTGACAAACACAAATATTCAAAAAAAAAACACCTTGAGAGGCTAGACAATGATGCTTTTACCCTACATATATGCAAAAAAATTGCTACTATTTATTAATTGTATTGCTACTATTTATTTTAATTTAAATTAAAATTATATGGCAACTTTAAATTTTTTTTAATCTAAAAATCAATCACATAAAAAGTCACCAATTATTTGTATGTACATACATACATATATGTGTTTTCCAAAATAAATATGTATTTTTAAAAGAGGGTTTCCATTACGTTTAAGTTTTTCACCACTTAAGAATTAAAAAAAAAAAAAGAATCTTAATGTCATTCTAAACAATTTTCTGCCAAGTGGATCAGTTTTGTACGTTAGATAATGAATTTTCATTGCGAAACAGCTATAACACAATACATATATATTATGTAAACATAAATAAGAAATATCATTTTTAAAAAACTATTAATCTTTTCCGGGTTTCTTTTTCAATTCAATTATTTGATTAAATTTATTAACGCAACTCCATCTTTAATTTTTTACTATCAATATATTATTTAAAAAATTCAAAATATTACGAAATTTGTAAGCTTAATTTTATTTTTATAGGTATTGAAAATTTGTAATGAAATTTTAGTTATTTCACTTTAAAAACCTTGAGCAAAGTTATATAATTATATAATTTGCATACTTATTTATTTTTGTTTTTCTTTATTAAGTTTCTTTTGTATAATTTAAGATTATGTACAAACATCCATACACACATATTTGCATTTTTCTCTTTAATTTTAAATAATGTGTACTACACTGTTATTATTAAAGTTATGTATCATTTATTGCAATTATAATAATAGTATATAAATAGCAGTGTTGTAACTATTCGTGATTATATAAGAATATACAACTATATTGTTTTATTAATTACCGCCTGTGTATCATCATGACCGTGTGCTCTCTACGAAGTATAATATTCATAATGGTGTTTAGAATTTTTCCGAAGAATCTTATTATAATTATAAAATCATATTACATGCGTATGAATATTTTATTCAGAAATACGATCTACTTATATATGTACCTTCATAATAGCTAAAAAGGTAATTATATTGTCATACATATACGAATATTCACAGGCATATACATATGAATATTTTGTTGGGTACTTAAATTAAATTTGGCTTTATGATACAAAGATTCACTTATTTTGTAAATTTTTTTCATAATTTTCTTAGAAATATAAATGACAACATTTCATTTATTAATACGAAACATTAAACGTTGTATTTGCTATTATTTAGATAAAAAATTTCAGAATCAAAATGATTAGTATTTTTATTCTTACTTCATTATAAATTTCTCTGCTTTCAAACTTGCTTAAAAATTTTTTTAATTAAAATGTTAAAATTATATAATTAAATTTATTTAAATCAAATTGTTTCACTTTATTTATTTATTTATTTTTTTCTTTTATTTCTTATATAAAAATTATTTATCACAAAAATTGCACAGCCGTTTTTCCAAATATTGTATTGAATATTTTTTTTTCTTAATTTTAATTCTTTTTTTCCGAAAACTACTCATTAGCTTCGCAGCTTAATTTTAACTGTTAGGTACAAGCGTCTCAAACAACTTAAATTATTAGAAGCTTTAAAAAAAATATCAAAACATAATAAAAATAAAAAAAAGCAGATTATTAAATAAAGTTGTAAAAGGAATTAAATAATTGCGAATGGAATTAAATAATATAATGGATTGAAAGCAATAATGGTATAATATCAAATATGATAAAGAGAATAATAAACATATAAAATAAAAATAAAACTAGACTTAAGGTTTTTGTTTGTTCTTAAGCAGAAGCAATAAATTTTTATAATTTTTTCAGAGATGTAAAATACTCTCAGAAAAATTATTTAAAATGGTGAGAGTTTCTCATCAATAAATATGTATTGTTAATTTCACTCAAAAATAAATTTGTGCTTCTTAACACTATTATGCATTTGGATATTATGTAGTTAAGTATTTCTGCACCTTCCGAGTAATGTTGAAAAAGGCATCCATTTTTGACATTTAGTATTTTAATCGAAAATAATGTTTCGTTACAACGAAATGTAAAGAAAACAAATAGGTGTATGAGCAAGTTATACTTTTTTATATAATATATACATGCTTGTACATTTTATATCAAATATTATGTAGCTGCGAATAAAAAATCTTATTACTATTTAAAGTAAGTGATATTGTAAAGACTAATATTATTTCTTCGAATTAGTTCATAAATATAGTTCGTGCAAAAATTTTGAAAATCCGCAACTAAACAGAAGTTTCATGTCAAGATCAATGCTTCAGAATATTATAAATATATTTCAATAACGGAACCGAAAAAAAAGAAAGAAGTTCATTCAATTTTTTTATAAAAAATTCAACTTCACAATTTTTTCTTCTGCTACTTATGACTGCATATAACCTTACTTAGAAATGAATTACGTTTGACAACACTGCTTCTCTAATATATTTATAAAGCATAATTCATGAATTACCCTATTTAAAATAGTCAACTACCTTATATCTAATCACACATATATGTGGATTTTCTCTCTCAGTTGTTTTTTAATGGTTTTGAAATTTTACTTATGCATACATTTCTTATGGCTGTATGAAATTTATCAAACGGAAACAAAGTTAAATTTACATTCCTCTTATACCGAATAATTTGCTTTTTTAAGTATTGAACTTTTATTATAACTTAAGTAGTAACAATCAAACCAATACCGTGTGCTTATCATTTACAGCCAAAATTCTCTATTTTTCTTTGACTTGGTATAAAACAACAAATACCTTCAATAATTGAAAATGTTTCTTGCTTTCAAAATTAATATATCAAATAAAATACAGAATTTGAAAAGCTATAAGGATCAAAAATGATTTTATGGCATTGGAGTTTATTTCAAACCACCGTAAAGTATAATTCAATTCGAGAATTTTTTTTATATATGAAAGATGAACGAAAGCGAGAATAAAAATGTTGAATTTTTTTCCCAAATTTTAAGGGGCAACGACTTTTTGTTTTTGAGTGTTTATTGTTGGATTGGGATATTCGCTCAAAAAAAGTGAACTTTGTTAAGCAAAACAATGCATTACTATCGAATCATGTTCGGTATTACGCTCTTGAATCAAGTAAATTTTGTATTTTGTAATTAAAACAGCTATATTATACCTACTTAATTATGTGCTTTTGTTTATTAAACGTAAACACATTATATATTTTTTGTTTAAACATTTATAACCTATTTTAAATATTAATTTCTGTAAAATAAATTCAAATATTTTTAAAGTACGTGCCATATTATCATATATTATAATATGATAATATGTTAATAATATGATAATATAATATGATAATATAAAGTTGTTTGATAATAATTACAAATTTCTATTCCGTATACTCGTATGTATATGTATGTACCACTATTTACCATACAATAAGGTAGGTTGTAATGGCAACAAATTTTGCATATCGAGGGAACGCACTTCTCCATGGTAGGGAATTATACATAAACTATTTTTAGCAACCTGTCAGTCTGTCGATCTGTGTGTGTACGCGTGTATCTCAAATTCGTCTGAAGCGATTTTGATGAAATTTTATATGTAACTTTTGAGGTATATTTTACAATTTTTTGATTTTGAAGAAAGTATTCAATAGATTCACTTGAAATTTTATATATAAGTTTAATTAGATATAAAGAGAAATAATCAACCAATTTAATTGAAATTTAATATTCCAATTTGAGGTATTAAGGCAGTGAATCTATAAATTATGGTATAAAATCTAAAATCGGACCCAGTTCGGTTTCCAAGTCCTCATCCTTCCAAAATATTTGTAGATATGTTGTTTTAAAACTCCGAATTTACATACACTTATTAAATTTAAAGGAAATTGGTTGTTTATTATGTTTGTTAGCCAAAATAAACTCGCATACAAATTTTCATCAAAATCGGTTCAGCCGAACCTTAGATGCACATATGTATTTATTTAATCGTAAATAAAGTACTAAAAGCAGTTTAGTGCTATCACATAACCTACTTTATTGTGTACAATGCGGTCGGTAAAAATTAATTGTTAATTGGTAATTGATAATTTATTACCTTAAATTTGTATTTTGTACAAATTCAATGAAAAATAAATACTTCATTGCATATTTTTCGTTTTTTATGTATTCTTTACATATCTAAACTTATGCTTTGAAAGTGTGAAATTATGAATAAAAATTAGAATTATATACTTAGTTTTTAATTCTCAAAACTCCAAATTACCGGTTATTACTGGCACCAATTAAGAGCGGAAATACGCATCTATGTGTGTATTTATGTACATATATCAAAATTGTTATAAATTATTAATTGTTTGTTAAATTCGAGTTGAACTTTGGTTTAACGATAAATAGCTGTAATTTCGCCATTGAATAGTGCATGATTGAAATTTCAAAGTGACGTTGAAAATTCTTTATATCTGATGCCTAATTTAATGGTCAGTCATATGATGTATATGCGCATAATACTTATTTCTATTTAATGTAAAGAACTGTGTCTGCATGTTATCTGGAAAAATTCAGATAAAAAGTTTGTTTTTGTCTTTTAGAGTAAAGAACTTTAATGGCTCTTGAATTTCTTTTTTCTAAATTAATTCTTTCGGTCTAGCAAAAAAAAAATCTTATTTAAATAAGAAAACCTTAAATTAAGAAAATTTTGACTAGCAATTTTTGGCTTTCCACTTAGTATGATCCAGTTTTCGGAACATTCTGCCTTTGATTTAATATCATATAGAATTTTAAGTCTCGTTCTACTTTTCTTCCAGGATACAGTTTAACACGTTCATTCAAAAAGCAAAAATTTTATTTCCTCTAATCCACAATTAATTTGAAACCCAAAAGTAGAAAAGTAGATCAAGAGAAACAATTTGAAAAAAAAAATCCTACGGTTCCAGAGAAAAAGTACTGAAGTCATTTTTAGTAGGTTTTCAGGAAACAGTTTTTTTTATAGTTTTTGTATCATTGATTTTATACGAATAGTTTCTTTTAGAATGTTATTTTAAATATTACTTTAGTGTCTGTGTATTAAAAAAAGAAAAGGATGAGATCATAATTTATGATTTTAAGCCGAAATTCAGTCGCTTTTTTTTTGAACATTAAAACTTAAGCCAACTCAATGGTTTTTTTTTTGCTCAAACTCAAACATGTAAGTTTAAGAAAAACTTTTGTTCTTTTGAAAAACGAATTTTTCCGAACATTCAAATTTCCATAAAATATAATTTTTGAACATAAAACTTGTTTTTTATCTTAGATTTTTGGAAAAAACTAGTTTTTAAAACAAAGAAAAAGTTGTATGAGAAAATAAAATGTATTGAAAAAAGTATGACACAAAAACTTTGCATAATTTTTATATAAAATTTTTGCATAAATTTCTTAAATATGACGCCTTTTAAATTTATTAGCACTTTTCCAAAAAAATTTTGAAAAAATGTGCTTATTAGTTTCACTGTGTCCGTGCGTGTTATTCTTAACTCACGCAATTAACCCTTTAAAATCGAACATTATGTTAACCCGGCCCCTTTATTTAATTTTATTTATTTCAAAGACAGCATAAATCGTTCATCCTAAATATATGCAATCCTAGAAACCGTTTCGTTTATGAATGAAAATAATTTTAATAGTGTGGTAGGTATACATAGACTGTATTTAAAAGCAGTATTTTCACTTGTTGAAGGGAAAAGTGCTACAATACAAACCATTGGTTTGACCCAACTTTATTTATCTTAGAATTAGATATTCAATCTATAGAAATATGTAGTGGTTTGATTGCGTAGTTTGAAACATTTACATTCAATCATTACTTTTTATTGACTTTGGCGATTTCTATTATTTTAGAAATGAAATTGGCATTGTTCAAGCATATGTGCTAAGTATAATTTAGAAGTTTATTGTTACAGTTTTCTGCTTTTCAGTAATTTTGATCATTAAAAATAAAAATCTTTTTGATTGTAAATTCGTAGAGGAAAGATGTAAAAACATTTTTTTTCTCAAAGATACTTTCAAACTGTAAAGTTTCAAGCTCCTTCGAGTTGCAAATTGCAACAACTATTTAAAAAAAAATATATCGGTTTATATAAGAGGTCTGTTTAAGCCGTTTACGCTATATTACACTATTTGCTTACGTTCTATATGCGATGAAATATATTTGTTTTCTCTTTTTCTGTATTTAGAAATAGCCTAAGCTTATGACAAAATAAGTTCTCAAAATATCTCTAAATCAGAATTTTAGCTCTAACAATATTAATGTGGGAAAAAAAGAGTTGGCAGTGGTAATTGCACTGGTCCTTTAACAAAAGGGTGTCGGGTTCAAAGCTCAGTCAGGTCACTATAAAAATTATATTTAATATAATAGCTTTATACACATAACATTATACATATTATATACATACTAACTAATTGCCATATGTCAATAATATCCAATATTAAAAAACTACCAGGAAAATAAAATAATAAATATCAATAACCTTAAATATTTAAAATAAAATAACGGTAGGCTTGTCACC